TATATATATATATATATATATATACATATATACATATATATATATACATTTACATATATATATATATTCCCGTAGCATAGATGTCATTCTATTTGTTTAACTCAGTGTATAAATTATTCAACAAATTATTCAGCAGAGTACTGATCAAACACCAGCCTGTGCCTGCAACTCTCAGAGATGAACATTGCTCGGAACACCCGATATATTGTAATTGTTGCTATTCGAAAAATAAATACAAAAGAATAGCAAATGTACATGCTACACCTGTGGTTGAGTACAGTACGTTCTATCACTACCAGACATGCTGATCAGCCGTACTATTGATGTGCACGTTGCACCTGGTCCTCTGCTGAGTATGGCACAGGGAAATGCCACAGAAACGCTACTTAGCCCATGGGCTAGTACATTCTACGCCTGCAGTCGAGCGCAGCGGGTTCCATCACTGCGTGGCAGCTTGGCCGTACTAATCTTATGGAGGTGTGTGCATGACTGTCGTCTACGCCTACGCTTAGTCTGTCATAGGGGGTCCACCTGCACGTGTATGTAAACTATCAAGGAAACTCGACCTGGACGTAATACTCAATACTCAATACGAAAATTCAGCCTGGCGTATATGTAAACTCGTACGGAAGCTATTATAGACACCATGCCAACGTTGGAAGACGGGGTCCACCTGTACGTACATGTAGACTAGTACGGAAACCCGACCTACACTTGATACGTATAAACTAAGATGGAAATCTGGTCTGGCGTGTATGTAAACTAGTCCGGTAACTGTTACAGACGGTGGAAGACAGGATCCACACCACAACCATACATGTGCTTATCGATAAGTCACAGTCGTGACCATTGCTACAGGCGGACTACTCTTCGCATCTTTTGTGTTCTACTGGACATCGTATATATAGCGGCTCAAAACAACTCCTTGGTAACATCCACGAGTTATGTGTTGTGTATCATTGCTAAGGATAGGTGCGGATCGGTAACAGCACGCTGCAGTTCGATTGAATCTACGGAGACTTTCGGGTGCTAGCGCAAATACACGCCCGGTGTACGCAATACAGCAGCAGACAGAGAAGCAAAAGGTTACTCCGAATATATATATAAATGCTATTTTTAGAATCAGGTGCTGTGGAGTGCAGATTGTTTCGCGGCTTACGAACGTCGCCGCTTTAGAAGGCTCTTATAATTTTCGCGTATGCGTTATTGAACATCCCAGCGACTACATAAAAGGATCACCAGTTGTGTTTATCTGTACGAGTATATAAGTTAAACGCATCTAACATCTAGCTTCTTACGTATTGTGAACATCGAGCTGGTCGAAGCCCGGTGTCATCCGCGCCATTGCACTATATAAGCGGATATATACTACGCATATGGTAAATAACCCCACAGATATACTAAGCGTATGGTAAATAACCTCACAGTGTTTCTCGTTCGTGCTATAAAAGCAAAGGATACTTTCGGTGTGGTATCTCTGCTCTCTGCGACTGACCTTGCTACCCATCGGACACGTGCGGAATAAAGACACGGAATTTCAATCGGGTTATACTATCATTTAATTTAAAACGCGACGTCCGAGCCTACCACGCCTAGTTCTACGCACAAGCACACACACCACTTACATAGTGTCAATGACAGGCCGGCGTTAAAAACAACAACAACAATATTTCGGTTTATATACAGTTATAACTTGGTTTATGAAAAACACATAGTTTATGCCTGGGCTGAAGCCTCCTCCGGGAAGTACGGTGAGGGAAGGGGTGCGGAGTGGGCGGGTTTGCCCTGAAGTCCCAATTCCTTGAACATCAGCTTGTCCTCATCGAATTCAGGGTTAGGTGCGGTCAACAGCTTGTCCCTAAGAATACCGAACATTTGCGAGTTAATATCCCAGTAGATATATATGTATGGCCATCTTTTAATACTATTGGGGAAGATGGGAAGATATCAAAACACGAGTGGGCGTCTATGGGTCAAAGGATCGGTGGTTTCCCATGGGCCAGTGTGCATACGCATATTCTGACATATAAGTTATGGACAATGCACTATGTTTATAACTGTATAAAGAACTCGCGTATAACTGAACAAATGCATGTATATTAGTTTCTATGATTATAATTCTCACCATACATACATACATACACATACGACGTCATAATCTCACATACCCGGTGAAGATAGAGTTGGCGCCTGCCATGAACATGAGTGCCTGTTCGGACGTTGAGTACTTTGTGCGACCCGCAGACAGTCGAACCATGGACCTGTTTGAGGATTTGCTCGGACAGTAAGTAAAAAAGGGAAGCTGACACACTGACCAACCCCGATCCGAAGTTAAATCTAAGAGAACTATGTACCGATACGACAAAATAAATAAATATATACATCGCGATACGTGTACTCTACAGTAGACAATACTTTGTTAAGATATATGATGCTATTCGCCCTTTCTTCATACTGATCGCGGTTTATTAAATGTACGATTATGTTAAACCGTTCTTTATACCAAGCGCGGGTTGCGATGCACATCTCGTTACTTCCAAGTACTACTTCAGCTCAATCGATGCAACACAATAGCCACTACAATTACCATCGTCAAAGAAGCTGCTATGTTATATAAACTGGGATCACGGCACGACCACCAACCTACTAGGAGCAAGCACTAGAACATCGCATGATAAAGTAAACACAGAGATACCCAGCAAACACACATTGGTAGCGACGGTATACAAACCAGGGCATCCGAGAACACTCAAAGTAGCTATTCCGAAAGGATGGTTGCAGTAACCAGATATTACACTATACGTTGTTGGTGAATCGGGGTGACGATTTAGTAGACCCGAGTGATCATTCAATTGGCTGGTGGACAGTTTTATACTTGCAAGATAATGGGCGTGTGTGGTATAGCCAACAGTTGATTGTTATAATTATATACACACACACACATACGTATGTAATACATACATGTAGAATGGGCGTGTGTGGTATAGCCAACAGTTGATTGTTATGATCATATACACACACACATGCGTATGTAATATATACATGCATACTTATCTACAGCAATCATCCACATGTACAATTATACTTACTTGGGCATGAGGCAACGGGCGGTGGCAATCATGCGAACCATGTCTGTGGCGGGCACAGGGGGTCGGTGGGCCAAAGGAGTACCATCCACGGCAACTATATCAGACACAGGTGAAGCAAACACGGGTTTAAGAATACGAAACAAGAAATTCAGGAACACAATTAACTATGTCAGGGGTCACTATTCATCATGAAATGCAGGAAAATCTATCAAAAAAGAGGGTTGGGAGTAAGATTCAGGATACTAGAATGCAGGCTCAGGTATTGCGACAGGACCGTCATGAGCACATAACAGCCCTTACACAGCATTCTGTAATGCAAAAACAATAAGCGACTGCGATTGGATCACCAGCGGCTGCTTGCGAACCTACGTGGTTTCAGGCGTGTTTATCGCCTGCTTCTGGACACAGGTGGTTTCAGGCGGATTTGTCGCCATGAAGCAACACTACGACACGACTACCCCTTCCAGACCCACGAGGTTGGAAGGTGTTGCAGGTTGGCCAGGTATGCGTGAAAGCCTTTTAGCTTCTGCTTCCACGCTGATGATGGCCAAGGATGAATCACCCTTTAGGAAACCATTGTCGTTGTTTCACGTGTATACCTGCACGCACAAACTACACACACACACATATATATATATATATTGACAGACACCTACCCAAAGCATTAACTGGCACTGACTCGGGGTGTTCGTTCAGAGTGGACAGGGTGTGTAGTAGGCCGATACGGTCCTTGGCCTCCTCGCCCATGCCAATGATACCACCACAGCACACACTGATGCCAGCCGCACGGACATTCTCCAGCGTCTTCAGACGTTCATCATACGAGCGGGTGGTGATGATTTTACCATAGAACTCTCGACTGCTGTCCAGGTTGTGGTTGTACGCGGTTACACCCGCAGCCTTCAGTTCCTTGGCCTGGAATGAGATGAATAGATATACAGTTTGGGTGAGTTTAGTCTCGGAAGTAGACACAGACATATAGAACTCAAAGTACGTACATCCAGGCATTTGCGTATTATTGGCGTGTGCGCCTATGGGGCTGGGACTCACATGTACGTTTGTGCAGAAGCCCCATTTTAAAAGCACAACAGTACATAGGAACAGAGAAGAAACACTCAAAACGTCGAGCATACACGCACACATATCAAAATCACCTATGAATATATACACATACGCGCACATCAAGCCCTACACCAGTCTTGATCCCTCCAACCCATATACACACACTTTCAAGCACACATACCTGCTCAGGGGAAAGCATGCCCAGGGTGGTACAGACCTCCATGCCCATGCTATTGACCTCCTTGACCATTGTAATAACCTTCTTGAATGCATGCTTCTTACCCACTTCTCTCCATGCACTGCCCATACAGAACCGGGTGCTGCCAGCCGCCTGAAGCGCGATGGGTGTGTGGGTTGTGTGTTAATTACCCATGATATTGACCCAGGAAGTACTGTATATATATATACATACATGTAGAAGTGTAAAGCCGTAGACGCTTGGAAGCCAATCCGGAGGCGTTTGCAGATTGGGTGGGATAATGTGCCGGGTATGTCAGTTATATATGGCAGTGGACTTGCTAAACAATGTCCGCCTTGCCCTGCCCACTATATTAAGGCCATGGACCTGGCGCAGACCGCAATCAGGGCTCGCGGGTCGGCGTTATCGCCACTCACCACCACTATGCCTAAAAGGTATACACAGCCGATACCCACACGCACACAGATGTGACGAATACTAAATATATATACATGGAAACTTAGATACAAGGAAAAAAAATAGCACGCGCTCGATGCCCTGCATATCAATCTACTTGCCGGACTAGATTTAAATACATTTATGAGTATATATATATATATAAATATATGCACAAGTACAATCATAGCTGTAACCCGACCCCAGAATCCATATACAATTCAGCACAAAGTGAGGCATAGTTGTAACAACAAACCAATCCCTACTCAAGCTCCGCATTAGCCATACTGGCACCTTACCTTAGCCTTGCGGGCGTTCTCAATCACATCCTCGACCGTCAGCGTAGGGGTGGGCTTGACGAAGGTCTTGTGCTTGCTTGACTGCGAACAATACGAACAGTCTTCCGTGCAGCCGCCAGTCTTTATGGACAGCAGGGTGCACTGTTGGATCTCCTTGGGGTTAAAGTACATGCGGTGTGTGGTGGCGGCTTTGTATACCAACTCCATCAGGGGCGTGTTGTATAGCTCAATCACCTCCTCCAACTCCCAGTCCTGCAGAATGAATACGCCGTGTACGGATGTGGTTTAATGAGAGTCATTTGATCCACAGCGTGCGCGGGCACTTTATATATGGGGACGTGCGTGGTTGAATGAACGTACCACAGTCAGCATACACGCCAGCTTCATCGACCTAAATAGTTTCTCAACTGGTATCAGATACATATGCTACAACTTGCGGCAAACCGGGATTGGTTGTCGAGCGCAGAGTGATGAGGCGAGGTCGCGGAACTACATGGTAGTATTTCTTCATGCACAAATAGTGGCACACCCTTAGATATTGAGAGAACTACATGTTAGTATTTCTTCATGCAAAAATAGTAACAAACCCTTAGATATTGAGAACAAAGGTGACGCATCAATGCACGACAACGGGTTACTTTGATGGGTTTCACGCATTCTGCTATAGATGTGAATGAATCTGGCATTTTTAGCAAGAAAATTAGATCTACAATATGTATACACACCAACTATGGAGGTTTGTACACAATAGTGAGCAAGAGGGCAACGTATATTTTGTGTGGAAGGATAGGTATTGTTATATGCAATAGTCTAGAATCCACTTCGACGCAAAAAGAGAAAAAAAGAGAATGGATCGACGGACTGTCGCGAGAACATAGCCAACGCACACGCCAATCTGTACAGAATAGACACTCACGATGATGTGTACATTGGTCTGTTTATATATAATTGTATTCTTTTCTACATATAATGATTGGATGGACTACTCGTGGCGTACCACAAGGCGATTTTAACCCCTAATTGACGCTTATAAACATTCATGGATAAAAAAGGCTGCGGGCAGATTTATGATGCATAAATTATATAACCACAAAAGCGGGTTTATTTCCTTCCGAGTATTGTCTTTGTGCGATCATATATATATACAGAGATATATTATGATTTTATTTACGGGCATTAGTACACATAGAAGTTTTCATGTGCATACTTGGAAACAAAACCAAAAATATATCTATAGGTGAACAGATATACACCTATCAGTTTTTTTACTTGCATCAAGTTCAATATTAAATATTTATATCTAAATATATCGAATGAAAATTGTGGTGTAAGCCATAACTCTATCACACAGGATACAAGAAATAAAAATACAAATACTGTTGTATACATGTATATTTTTATATAGGCAGACACATACACATGAATACCAATAAAATACAGCTACAGATACAGATACATATATATATATATTTATGCAGATATACACACAAGAATACAAATAAAAATACAGATACAGATATATGCGTCATAATTAGACCACCTACCTTGCGACAGTAATCAATTAAAATTGCACCTTCACACTATACACAAAACATTTGCACTGCGACCGTAAATAAACATCCTACAATCATTTAAACATAGTAAAGCGACCATACACCGAATATAAAGGTACCCCACAAAAAATCATAAGCGATTAAACAATGCTTATTTTCACCATGAGTCGTAGGCAAGATAATTGTAAAACAGTAATAGCAAAGAGACTCTACTCATAAACAGACCACCTACAATCATGGAAATCAATTGTTCTTATTGCATAAACAGACTTAAACGCGTTCTCGTTGCATAAACAGACCATCTACGTTCATAAAGCTTAAAAGTGTTCTTGTTGCACAACGAGACAATCTACATTACTAAAACTTAAAAGTGTTCTTATTGCATAAACCAAATTAAAGGTGTTCTTTCAAACAGACCATCTACGTTCATAAAGCTTAAAAGTGTTTTTTGTCGCACAACGAGACTATCTACATTCCTAAAACTTAAGTGTTCTTATTGCCGCACCATATAAACAGTCCTTCTACATTCATTAGCAATCTGTACACAAAAACTAGCAGATACACTACGTTCATAACCAAATTATAATCCACATAAGTAGATAACTTACATTGCGCACTCCCGTGGAGGTGACGCCGTTGAGTTGCCTGTCGACCTCAGGAACCGGTGCCTGCTCAACAGCTGCAGCAGCACTTGAATAGGCTGACCAAGAAGCACGAGACAAACGTGAGTACACACTGGTACGCGACGAAGCCAACGAAGACAGCATGTTGTATATAAGTGTGTAACGCGGATGTATGTGTATATGGAGGGAGAGGGTGAGAGTATGCCAGGCCGAGGTCGGTGCGTGCGTGATGTGTAAGAATTGCAGGAAGCTGTGTTCTATTTTCTCTCTCTCCGTGTACATAGTATTCCCCTCTTGATTTGGTTGATTTTTTGTTAGAATATATCGTCATTTGTCATTTACTCCAACAAGATGCAACAACGCGAGTACGTGGAATATGGCGGCGGCAAAAAACAGATTACAACTGCACAGTGCACACAACTACAATAATATTAAAAATTATAATCAGCCCAAAAAAAAGTCATAGAGTATTTAAAAATTGGACTATGTTGCATAGCACAAGCCAAAAAAGTGGGGCCAAACAGTCCTGTGACCACTTTGTCACAACAGAACTCATAAAAAAATCCCTTGAGAACTAAAAAAATTGTACTGCATTGCACACAGAGAGCCAAAAAGTGGTGCCAAAATTTCCTGCCATAGTTAACCGAAATCTACAATCTGCGATTCGGCCGATTCCACATTCCCCATTTAAAAAAATTATTTATATAAACATTACCACACAGGCAAAAGAAGAAGAGAAACCCAACCAACAATAGAACACATTATTCTTTAAAAACGACATATGTATAGGGACAAACTGACGTCTGACGGAAGTTGAATTCGGGTTCCATGCGAATTATTAAGAATAGTGTTCCATTCCAATTTTACGACAGGTCGGTCCCTTTTCTTGCCTCTTAAAATATAGCTGTGCTGCAGTGTGCCTCTACAGAGTGCCACAGACTGCAGAGTGCCACAGACTGCAGACTGCAGAGTGCTTATTCCTAAAATTTGTATTTTCATTCCTGGGGTGTTTCAAGGTTGTCTCATAATCCCATTGGATTACAAGCTATAAAAAGCCAAAAAACGTCGTTGTCCCTTCATCATCATATCATCATTAATTTGGACATATAAAGTCCGAAATTAGGACATATGCGGCATTTGGATTATTAAATTATGCACATTTAAAAAAAAAAGTATATCGCACGACGCACAGGTCAGTTTCAACTGTCGTCGAATAACAAATTCGCCTCTACGAACCAACCAACGAATTCCTTCGATCTGATTGACTAACCCGATGGGCAAGTGCATTTTGCTCAGTGCTGAGTGCTCACAGGGGGCCGGGGGGTGGGGTGGGGGCCCGGGGGTTCTTATTTAGCGGCACCATGGGCCCACTCACCCACTGCCCTACTCTATCTCTCTACTCTACTGAGAGCAGAGGGCCTGTCCGCTTGCTAGATCAGACTCTGGACCTGATATACGCACCTTTTATATTTTATCACTTAAAGTTGAAACTGTGAATCAAACAGAACTCGAACTCTCTCTTGTTGTGTGAAGCTTCCACTCTACTTCTTGCTATTTTTAGCATGTTGAATAATTATACTGTGAGTGTGTGAGTGTGTGGGGCGCAGGTGGAGTAGGGCCACTGGGAGTGGGCCCAGTGGGGCCTGAGGCTGGGGACTGGGGGTTAAATATTTCTGCAACAAACCAACAGCAATGGAGCCTATTTAATATATATATATATATATATATATATATATATATATATATATATATAAAACGGTTCAAGTTGATTCTAAAAAAATATAAATATTTAAACGACTCACGGAACAAATGATATTTAGAAAAAAAGTAATTTATTGAGAATTTATTTTTTTTACAGCAACCAGCTAAATTATTAGTTTTATATCTGATGACTGTGGTCTGTGGGTTTGTGACTTTTTGTCTTGTCTGTACGAGTCAGGACATGAGTCCACTGTCCAAGGGTCAAGGGTCAAGGAGCCCAGGAAAATTCCACCGTCGCCCATAGTGGCCTTAGGGCTTAGGCCTATAGAATAGACCCATGGGCCATTGGGCTTAGGTCGCCATACAGACTGATATTTACACTCTGATTTCTGTACAAAAAAAAGAAGTCATAGAAATTGGCGGTTGACGCGTGTAAACTGTAACCTTTGTATGTAAATATGAAATTACAGTGTCAACAAACCCTACAAATGTTTCGTCTGAATTACAACACATGCAGCATCCATTTATAGCTCTGTATCGCGGTTAAAAACTGCACTCAAATACGATGGCGATAAACGATACCTCGCAGGCTTGTTGCTAATAATTGCTAATGTGATATTTAATTTGAAAGAGGCTCTTTCACATACAGACAACGGTGCCATATAACTCTATTAGATAGCTTTTATGTCTTTATAATTTCTCCATGTCAATATCAACGTACAGTTCGTTTATTGCCAACATATTATATTTAGCTCGTGCTCTTAATCACTAGAGGTAGTAAACTTACCTGTTGAGGGGTCTGATCAAAGTGTCACAAGCTATAGAATCCTGCGGATCGTCAGCGGTCGAAAACGTCTATTAACTCTATTGTTGGAAGTGGTCATCTATTTCCGGGAAATAGCTAATTTCAGATAGTTTACAACTTGAGGGAACAAGCCCACACTTTCCCATCAATCCACAGCAGGGTTTAAGATCCGGCCTTTCTGACACATAAGCAAAACTCAGTGCTTTCTACGATATGGGAAGATTCCACCTCAGCACTTACATCCAGGTAAACGCCCTGATAGCGGGTGTGGGCGTGGCCACCTACCTTCTCGCGCATGACACCATACAGCGCGTTAAACACAACACAGACAGTGCAGACTTGGTTGTACACAATCATACCCTTATAGGGGCATTTTCACATGTCAGAATATGGGATATGTTTGTGCTGCACGCCGGGGTAGTGATACGCAATGCCGTTATATTGGCGGCGTTGACGTTTCTTACAAGACACAAACCGGTCATAGTACCACCTCAACGGAAGGGGTCGGCGAAAAATACAGATGACGTGCATTCTGAGAAGAACAAGTTAGAAAGTATACCAACTGAGAATATGCATGCTTCTGGTATAGCGCGCGAGTTATTAGCCGCAGATGAAGGTTGGGAAGCCAGGAAAGCATGCGTAGTTTGTGACAGCGAAGTGCGGGCACAAGTTTGCGATACGATGAAACTGGCAATGAATGGTGCAAGTAGTGCTAATAATAGAATACAACACACACTAGGATCGAAATCAAGGAGTATTCACAACGAAGAGCATACATCAAATGCCACAGATATTAGCTACAGCAGCGCACGAGTCTGCGGGAAGGAGCGGAAGTGTGAGCTGTCCTCAAGTACACAGCAATCAGATTCAGGACTAACGCAAGAACAATACTCGCTGAAAGACGAGAGTGGTGTAGAGGGTAGCAAGGGGATGCCACTCAAAACAATCGATACGAAAATTGGGTTAGGAGTGAAAGAAACTGAACCCAGCTCGTATTTCTCAGGGGAAAATAGGGAGATGATCTTGCGGATGGTGTTCATAGCGGGTGTATCCGAGATATTCAGCCTGATGTACCAGCTACCACGTACCACGGATGTAGCTTTACCTACAGTTGACGTACTGAAAGAAGGGTGGCAGGGTATGGCTACCAACTGCATGGCTATGGCGAATAGCACGCTCGCGTATAATATATCTACAGTACAAGACCTGAACCATACTACAGTTAACTTTGTGGCAGATGTAGGCCGTATGTATACAGAACCGCATACTGGAATAGATAGCGTATATCTGTTGCTCAGTTACGGATGCCTATTCATTGGCGGGTGGGTGGCCTTCACGTTCAAGATGCTGTGGTTTGAACTTATTTTTGATTTGTGCCACTACTGGGCACATCGGGTTTTCCACAGTCACAAGTGGTTGTACCGAAATTTCCACAAACTGCACCACCGCCACCTGCACCCCTCACCGCTGACCACCTACATGCAGGGCTGTGGAGATGTGTTGCTAAGCAACACATTACCTTTTTGCGTGGCCCTGAGTGTCTCGCCTGTATTTAGTGAGCTGGAGTTGTACGTGTTGTTAAGTTATAAAACCTTTGTGGAGGTGGCTGGACACACGGGTAAGGTTAGCAGAGCGAGCTCGTTTCCGGCTATGCCTCCGTTGGTGAATGTGTTGGGGATCGATCTGCACACAGAGGACCACGACCTGCACCATACTCATTTCAACTACAACTACAGCAAACGGTTTGTGCTATGGGACAAACTGTTCGGTACATACTACTACATAGACAGCTCAGAGAAGGGATGAGAGTGAAAGGAGCGGACAAGGGAGGTATGTATGAGGTGTTGAAGAGTTCAAGAGCCCTATAATCGGTAACTTGCATCGTATGAGGGTATGCAATAAGTACCTGGGGTTGGAAGGTGCATTTTTTTCGACGATCTCGCACATCCCGGTGGCCGGGTCTACTGTTTGAAACAGAAAAAACCGGTCGCAACAGTGACTAATCCGGGGAGGCAGCAGTCAACCAAAGTACTATATGACGTTCGGAAATAAGAGGAGGAAGGTGACAGATGAGTATTGATGAGAAGGCGTATATCAACGACAACAATGAGAACAATTCCGAATGCCATACGATGGGCCGTGCTATCAATGGAAACATGCAGCCGTCATGTGCACATTGATATAGGTGAAGAATAAACATTAGTTGATGGACAGGTTAAAAATAACACATCCTTGGTGGTCGTGAAAGTGCCCTATACATCGATTTTTTTTTAAGGCAATCAGTATGATAAAGATTTTCAGCTTCCACCACCGTAGGAATCACACAGCAGAGTGATGGAAACTAAGTCTGGCATTGAATTGCCTTTAAGTTGGCTCTGTTGCTGTGTATCTCCTACTGACTAGATGAACAGTAATACTGACTAGATGAACAGTAATACTGACGTATAAACAATACCGAAAGTGTATCAATTTTTTTAATCCTCGAAACAAGGAACATGTACGGTTCAGATTTTAATGTCACTTCGCAGCTATATATACTATTCGATATACATATAACCCCACCGATATAATTTGGTACACTTTTAGTTTCGAGAATTGACACGGATCGGTGTGTAGATAATAGCATTTGGAAAGTGCGTTTTTGAGAAAGTATGTGTTACGATGTTGGACGGGTGGGATAATCAATATTAGCTAGGATATAATAACTCTCATTATAGTACGCACGTACGAGTTCACAAGATAGGTCAACTTTGGACTACCGCATAGTGCATAGATTTGGGTGTCTGTGAATTTTTAGTAGAAGGAAGCATAATAGTATTGGTTAGTTTATTTAAGTATATAGGAGAATATAAATGAAGACGAACACATATTTGATCATTTAGTAACCCAAATACTCTTATCAGAAATTGGTCGAAACTTAATCGTCTACTCGCTAGTGTCAGATGGATATATGGGCTCATCATATCTCTTTCATTGCGAGCAAAACTAAATACGATCAAATTTATACGCAGCATATATACTAATGACAAATTTTGCAGTACACGATCCAGGAGTATTGTGTCTTCTAATGTAGACACATACAAAATTCGGGATAGTTTGGTGTATGTGCACATTTCACCGAACTATGCGCTGTCAAATTAGGAAAACTCGAAGGAATATGCTGGATTGGCTAAAGCTTGGTAAACTTGTGCCAAATAAAGTCGATAACCAAATAGTCGAACCATTTCTTGGAAGTGTGAGCAACTTCAATTTCAAACGAATCCTAATACTTTCCCAAAGACATTCGTAGTATGGGTCGTGCTATCGACTAATATATGCATTGAACTCGTTGTAGATACCCAGATTATTAGGTTGATTCATTTCCGACGTATGGCCGCCAAACTTCAACAACCACGGGTAACTAGAATCAAGAATATGAATACATCATACACCTAAATCTAAAGCGTACACCAATGCCTTTCTTCAAATTGTCATACTCTCTCTAGAGAGAAGCGCAACAAATGTCGCGACTGTGAAATCCACAATTAGTAGTATCACTTTGCGACTTTTAGACCCTGGCAGCCAAAACCCTATGTAGAATTATCAGACAGTGATGTCATAGATAGCACGTGCATATAAATATCCTCATACCCAATAACACGTATCATCCCCTATCGACATAATCGACGATAACCAAATATGTTGATAGGGTTATCTCTTTGTGATATACACTTGTTGAGCAAAAGCAAGTTATAGTTTGCTCAGCGTTTATTCAACTATTGGCATATCGCATACTTCAAGTTCATACGACTTGAACACTACGTAATCATTCCTGTAAGAATATAGTAGTATATATCAGCTGTGCCTCTACATAGACATGTCGGGCGATAATAATGTAGACACTGACCTAATACCAGGTATAGAGGGCAAGGAAATAGGGGCCTTTATTAAGCCTTTATATCAGAAGGTCTTAGCCGCTGTCAAAGCTGCAAATGATCTGCCTGTAGGCGATGACTATGATTACTACAAGACATACGCAACCTTTCAGAAAGAGATGCAGAAACACAGAGATGCGATATTAATGCAGACGGAAAGTGTGCTGAGTGGTTATGTGAAAGGCGAGGTTGTATCGAGCGGGAAGGGAATGATGGATGTACAAGCAGGTGATGATGAGACTAAACTGGAGAATAGATTTGATGCGGTCCAAGAGAGCCTGGATGGGCTTTTTGAGAGAGTGGTATGTGATGTGCAATGTTTGGACTATACAAGTAATTACATATATGATACATACATATCAGGTATTAACAAGCATCTATACATGGTACCCATTGGTATCGTATAAATATATTTCATTATGTAC